ATATAAAATTAGACTGTTACTTCGATATATTTTGTGTTGCAGGGTATTTTGTGGTCTAAGTCAATGCATTTTGCGGCTATGCTTTTTTTATGTTGACAACATTTTCCAAGAACTTGTCACATTTTGCCTCTGTTTGAATTTGTATTTATTCAATTCCTCTTATGACGCCCCTTTTATTGACTTAATTTACGATTTAAGCACTAAATGAGAAGCGTTCATCAAACCCACATATACAACTACATGCATATATATCCTCTGCCAATCGATGTTAAACTGTTGGAGTTTCCATCAAATTAGTTGCCTTGTTTGGCCCAAGGCGCGAATCGTTTCTGGCCGGCTGCCTGTCAAAGGACCTTCAAAAGATACTAATGGTTCTAGTGGTAGAGAGGCAGAGGAATCTCTCAAAGACCTACATATACCACAAACGCTTTCGCCATAGGTATTTATGTAGGTACAGTACTGGTTCGGTATTGATGGCACTATATATTTTGCCATAATTACACCGCCACTACACTGGGAGCTGCCTGCCCATCTGGTCTCGATTGCAACTCGTATCTTTTCTCTTAGCCAGCCCATCATCGAGACCGCCCAGAATGGTGCAAGGCGGAATATTATACAATTTAATAGAGGAGAGCTTGGGAACCCCCACCTCCAGGGATCCAAAGTTGGAGTCGAAGTTGGTAATGAAATATCTAACGACCGGAAGTCAATGGCAAATACCTAATAATGTTGTTCGCTGCCTTTGTGGTGGTTGCCTGTTGTCAGTTGTCTGCCTTTTGGCCTTTACTACACTTGGGAAAGCATTTCTTAAATCTGTTTTAGGCCATCAAATATTGTTAGATATTTAATAAACAACGAGACTGCTTTTGGAGGCACTTTATTCCAAGACGAGTTCTAAGTGCACCAGTAGTTTCTTGTCATTTTTTTCTGGTGTAATTTCGCTCGGAAGAAAATTGCGTGCAGCTTGTTGCACCTTCAGGTGAACTGAGGCAAGGTGGGAACGTGAACGCTAAGTGTGCGCTTCAATTGCCTTTGATTCGATTCGATTCGACAATCAGACACTCCATTAAAATTGAAATTTCTCCGGTTATCGCTCGATAACGATCTAATCGCAACAGGAAACGGAAATAGAACTTCATAGTTCACGCTTCCGCGCAGAAATACGGCGATCGCTTTCACACTTTTTATGAATGAACTTGCTCGATGCTCACTCATGCTATCGGTAGGCAGGTTTTTCAGCTGATAAGAAGTAATGGGTTCGAAAATAACCTGCACTAATAAATTTCAGCTAGCACTTCTTTCGAGTCCCATTTCCCAGAATTGCGATAAGATTCCTTTGGACCCATGTGCTAATTGCGCAATTACGCAGGCTTTAAGATTGGCACAAGTCAAACAATAAGCACAGTTTCCAGTTCAGTTTCAATATCCATTCACGTACTGCCCGATTAAATAAGACCGAAGCGGGTGCCTGGTACGAAAGGGCCTTATATAGATTGCCACTAAGTCTAGCATTTAAGGGATCGTTATTTGCAATGCACCAGTAATTCATGTAACTACGTGACTTCAATATCGCAGTTGAGCCTGAGTAACGGCTACAGATCTGAAAAACAATCGCGAGTGCATTTAAAAGTTGATTTTGTCAGCTTCCTAGTTAAACGAGTGGTTAGCAGTGTTTCATGGAAATGCTTAAAAAAGGTACGATTAAGTTACACTATTTACTAGAAAGAAAATCTATCTTGGCACTTGCCTTAAACATTATGAGTAGATAGTCTACGGATAGTCCCTGCCTCCACTGCAGAGATGCATAATTATCATCACTTGCCTCAAACATTATGAGTAGATAGTCTATGGATAATCCCTGCCTCCACTGCAGATATACTTATCATATGCATCAAATGCCACCCAGTGCAAATATAAATATTAAATAATTTAAATGCAATTAATCATAACTGAAGTAATCCGAGACAGTCCAGGGGGAATCTCAGTGAGAATTAAGCCACCGTGACGTGGATGTGGAGCTGGATGTGGATGTGGATGGGTCCATCTCGTGATCTAAGAAGACAGCAGACAGACGGGCGGTGCCTGGTGCTTGGTGGTGGTCGGTCGGCGTGATTGACCCATTTCCAAGTGGAGCTGCAAAAAGTGAGGCAACTAGGAGCGAACAATGAACACCTCGTGTGATTACCAACCGCAGCGCATTGGCTGGAGTGGCTCCAATTGAAAGATCCCTGGCCATGTGTGTGGCCCACAGGTTGGATACCGACTTGGATCTGCGACTTAACACGGATCGCATAATGAATTTCGAACACGCACAGACGTTTTGTAATTTCGAGTTGTAAGTGCTGGGCTTTGAAGTGCCTCGCGTCTACTTCTACTACCGACTACAAGTCATAATAATTGTTATAATACATATGTATGCAATGCCAAATATGTACAGGGCCCATAGTCATGGCTATGAGAAGTCATTTCTTTAACACGCAGCCCACCTTGGGACTAAAAATGCACTGAAAGAACTGAAAAGCAGATGGGGAATAGCTTGTACTATGGGTTAGAAAGTTAGCATGATATGATATAAAAAGTTATGAAACTAGAGATGAACGTTTAATTGAAGATGTTATAGCGCTTTTGGGTCTTAGTCTGATTCTAAACAAAATTCTAAAAATATGCTAGTAGTAATGCTCAATATGATTTCATAACCAACTACAAGACTTTGGATACCTTTGGCGTACTTGGCAATCTGCCAAGTAGATTAGTTATTTTTTCCGGTGCCGTTCAGGTAAACGTCGAGCCGAAGATAAAGCCAAAGGGTTTCCCCTGCATTTGTCGCCAATTATGCGGTTTTGTGATAATGACCAAATGATCTCCCTTGCGTCCCCGTCGCCGTCGCACGTAATTTCAATTCATTCATAGACGTAAAGCCGCGGAGTCAATGTTTTGCGTTGCGTCGCGTCGCGTCGCGTCGCGTTTCGTCTCGTTTCGTATCCCATTCATAAATTTACCTGGTCGCGTAGTCATCATAATAATAGCTTTATCTTATCCTCCTCTCCTTAGCCCTGATCACTTCTTCTCTCTTTTCCTCGTTGGGCATTCTGCAACTAGCCATCTCGCCCTCTCGCTTGCACCCTATCAATATATCGAACGGAAGCAGCGGAAGCGGCCTCTGTCGACGTCGACGTCTCGATCGATTGTTGCTGTAGCTCCTATCGCCTGAGGTATTGTATCTTCGAAATACGAAGCGTTCCCTACTACAATATCGGTGTCTTCTTCACTTTTTTTTTTGTTGTTTTCGTTGTCTGGAGTTTCTTTTGAGGAGAATGCGCGTGTGAGGCAACACAAGAAATTCATTCATAAATTGCCTGTGTGCCTGGGTATTTTTTTCGAGTCATTGCAGAGGGGGAGAAACATGAGTAGATTTGCCATATGTGCTGCACAATCTGGTTAAAAAATTACAAAAAAAAGATACAAATTATGATCAAACAGGAAGATAGGAAGTGCACCAGAAATTCAAAAAGCAAGCCACTTAAAGTAATAGGATAAATATTTAATAATACATTTTAACAACAAGTTGTTGGGCTTACTTCATTTTACGGAGCACTGTTCGCTGCTTTAAATTTTAACTATGAAATTTGTTATTTTTAGTATTATTTTCTAAAGAATTTATTCAAACCCTAGATCTTTTTATCTTGTAATGACATAACTATACAAGTTATGTATATTTTGAAGCACTTTTCTATTTGGCGCACCTGTTACACCCTGTATAATCGCACATTTGGTCACCTGTTGCTAATGTTCCGAAAAAAAGAGCTGGTTGCTTTATTTGTGTTTACTCTCTTTCTTGCATTATTTTTTGCTTTAATTTTTTCGTGTGCCTGTGTGTTTTGTTTTTTCGTTGCCTTTTGCCTTCTACTCTCGGCTAAACAAACAACCTGGCGTTGTTGTTTTACTAGCTGTAGTTGTTGTTGCTCTGATGATGGCCGTTTCCGTTCCAAGCACACACGCACACGCACACACACACACATGCAGACGCAGCCGAGAGAGCGCACGCACACACACGCACACGCATCGTTTTATGAATGAATTCCAGTTCGTTCCGCAAGAGTGTTTCGAGATTTACGAGTTCCGTTCCCACTTGTTGCGCTCTCTCTGGCGCTCTCTCTCTCCGCTTCGCTCGTTTTGCTTAGGATATGCAGCTACAGCTACGGATACGATCGTTTCGTTTCAGTTTGGTTTCACAAATCCAGCAATCCGATAGATACACAGAACGAACGACGAGCGAATTACAAAATATATTTTTCCGTTTCGTGTATTGTTTTATCTATCGCATTAAAAATAAGAACAAATTTGAATCTCCAGAAAGGAGTCCGTGTGTGTGTGCGTGTGTGTGCATCTGTGCAACTGTGGAACTGTGGAACTGTGTGTTTTTTAAACCCGTTTGCTAATGCTGACAATCTGTTAATGGCTAAATGGTGCTGTGATATATGCAATTAACGTTCAATTACCACAATTAAGGCGCGACAATTGCACGCCCAAGATACATTTGTATCTGACGGATTCGAGCGCTGTGAAAGGGTCGTGACTTTCACTGACATTTCGGGTCAAGATTGTGCCGCACCAATCAATTAAGATCAATTATACGATCATCCCATCGTCCCCCTTTTTAACCCCTGACACCCAGTGCGTAAACAAATACGTGCAACAAGATCTCAATTGGCCCGACTATGACCAATGAGTGGATCGATTGGAATGACAGTCGGATGCTGCCGCCGCTGCGGTCGGCAAACTATAACCACCACCATCAGACCTTCTTGCCCAATAACTATCAGTGCTTTACGGGAAAATTCCATCTGAAGGGACAAAAGCTGCAGCAGCTAACCACCAATCATAGCAAGCTCAAAGGTGCGATCAAGTTTACAGTCCGCACTTTCATATCTTCTTATTAAAGCAGGCTTTAAGTTCTATAATACTGTATCTAATGCTGTGATTCTTTTCGTGTTTTACAGAAGTTCCCACCACCTTGCCACCCCTCACGCCGGGCACCAATCGCAAGGTCAACGAGGTACTGAAGGCCTCCTTCGCCTCCTGGGAAAAGGAGGTCCAAAAATGCAACATAACCAAAGGTAAGAGAAAGTGATTTGATAGATGCGACTTTTACTTATACACAAACCTAAAGAATTCGCGGCTGAGCTCCATTTTTCTAACTCATCACTTATCCCTGCTGACCGCTGAATCTAGCAACTTGAAGAACATAATCTTAATTATCCTAACTAACCGTGAACTATCAATTGGAGTTCCGGCCTGAGCACCAATGAATATTAATAGTTTCCCACAGCAATAACAAAGTGCGCTCCCACGCCTAATTAAGTCGCCACCGAGCTAGAGGCATTAGAAAACGATTAATTTCCATCTCTATTTATATATGTATATATTTCTATTCCTATTTCTATTTACACTCCCCCTCAACGCTTTTATCGTATTGTTTCCCATGCAGATCCGCGTGAATGGACGGAGGAGCATGTCATCTACTGGCTCAACTGGGCCAAAAATGAGTTCTCGCTGGTCTCCATGAACCTGGACCCCTTTTACAAGATGAAGGGCCGCGCCATGGTCGAACTGGGCAAGGAGAAGTTCCTGGCCATCACGCCGCCCTTCACCGGCGACATACTGTGGGAGCACTTGGACATCCTGCAGAAAGGTGAGTACGTGAGTCGAATGCCAGTGCATGCCGACGGCAGAAAAGAGTTAGCCATAGTAAGCCATAAACATGGACACGACTGGCGCCAGTAACGAAATTTACCTGCCCCAAACCGAGGCAAGAGCCAGCCGAGGCAAACCCAAAACGGAAGCCTGTCTAACAAAGTCAAGGAGTCCATCATGATGGCTGGGGTGGCTCTATTGGGTTGCCATGGAATGGGTGGCGCTGCGAACCGGTTCTCTGACCTGTTGAGCACTCTCATACCCTTTATATTAAACTTTTCTTTTTTTTTTGTGCTTCTGAAGCTTCCTGTCCAGGTTGAAATTTGATTTGAAGTAGAGGTCGCAGTTATCCCGAGCCCCGAGCACTTAAAAATATAATGTTTTTTGTGAATTTAAATAGAAAGTTGAAAACTTATATCGTTATTGCACCAGTACTAATGCATCACATTCAATTTGAGTCTGTTTATTTTTTGTAAACTAATATATTGTTTGAAGTGTACAGGCATGCCTGTAAAAAATAAACTCATTTGGACAGTTTGATTTTTATAATTTATTGAGTTTGCCAGCTCTTAGTTTGGGTAAAACCCTATTAGTATTTTTATGCAACTAATTCAATTTGTTGCGCACCTTTTCACCGAACCCCTGCGCCATTTCGACATTTTTCAGATTGCGAGAAACCAAATGAGGACATTGTGCACGGCAATTCCTTTGAGTCGGCCACCACGGCCTCGGTCTGTGGATCGGACCACCAGGTGGCCAATTACCCCACCGAGCCGCCCGCCAACAGCAACAACAGCAGCATAAACAGCCGCCTGTCCATGGATTATGTGACGTCGGCGGGGAACAGTGATAACAAGAACTTCCACCGCGCCACGCCCCACGCCCACAACGGTAAGTGAAGCAATCCGAAAGATGCTAATCTAGGCGTATTCATAAATGCACACCTTCAATTGAATCGAAGGTGAAGGTCCTTCAGTGATGAGAACTGAAAGGGGTATTATTTCCTTTTATAATCACACAAAGTGCGCAGAAATGCAATACTTCAAGAGAGACTTCAGCCATTCCTAAGTTCTACCTTATCAAAACACTCGCAATATCTTGCCCATTGAGGAATCTATTCAAGTTATTAAAATTCCGTAATACAAATAGTGGTTCCCCAGTCCAACATCTTATCATAAGCTAAGCAAATGATACTTATTATTTCATTGAAATTTCGCAGAACTGCGAAAGCCATAAACTTTACAGATGCATGACCTACAAAGATATGATGGCGCGGGGGTTGGGTTGCAAAATAAAAATAGTTCGCAATTGATAAGAAAATTGCTTAACTGCGCCGTCAACTATTCGTAGCAGATTCCATTCACTTTTGCCTCGACTTCTTCATTAGTGGCCCGAATCATTCAGCATTCCGGAACGTAAACCCCCCTGTAAAATTACACACAATCGATATTGAAATTGAAATTACAACGATCGATGGGAGATGGATATTGGAGCTCATTAAGCGATCACTTTTATTTATTGCACATCCTCCGCACCGAATTGGCCAAATGATGAGCAGTTGTTTGGCATGTGTTTAGTGCATCCGGCACAAGATACTAAATCACGAGCAGATCCATAACTAAATTCAAATTGAGAGCCAATTTAAACAATTCATTTGCACAGATACAATGTTTTGTATTATAGCGCTGGCTTCCTCTGCGTTGATATCTGTGTCTTGGCGGATTGCAGTTTATCTGAGTTATATTTCTGTGATTTTAATTTATTTATGTGAAATTGAAACGGAAATTAAATTTTAAAACAAATAGCGGGCTGTCTGACGGTGTGAGCTTGGCGCCAGCGTAGGCAGCATATCTAAATATCTATTTAAATTGTTTACATGTTCGATGGCCTGAGGGGCTCTTGGTGGCGGGGATGGGGGCTGGATCGACGCCAGGGCACAGCTTGAGATTGAGATACATTTACTTAATGCGTCGCCGTACAAATTGGAACACAGCAGCAACATCATCACCATCACCATCATCAGGCTGCATTGTGCCCGTTTTTTGTTTCCCCAACGGAGTTGCAGTGTCAAGATGATGTAGTATGCGATACAAATTTCATCTTATTATTAATCAACTGACCCCCAGCATGGACACGTCGTCTGCACTTTGTCGATGCTCCAGCGAGAAACCAGGCCCACTCCTGCCATCACCATAAATTAATTGAATTTATGGTCTTTGACACATTATGACCATAAATGTTAAAACATTTACGTATTTACATATCCCAGTCGCAGACGTGTGCGCGGCTAATGAAACAATCAATTCATTGGCCAAGTCAAACAAACAAAATTAGAGGGACTGAATACTTTTGGGACTTTTAAATACTCTTTCTTTTGGTTGCTCTGCAGAGTGATATGATGAGTGATGAAACGAAGTGTCATGACTAAAGCTATTATGATACATTTGAAAATATTTCTTTTTTTAACTTCGAAAGATATTTTTTCTGTATAACTTGATGGCGTTAAATGTGCTTAACTTTGCAGAGTTATGTGATGCATATGTGTCACGATATAAAGCTATTATGATACATTTTAAAATATTTTTTGAAAATTTAGAAAGATATTCTTTTTCTAACTTGATGGTCTTAAACTTTGAAGCGTGTTATGATGCATATGTGTCACGATATGAAGCTATCATGATACATTTTGAAATATCTTTTTAAAATTTAAAGGGAAAATATCCTATAAAATATCTAAACCATTATGATACATTTTGAAATATTTTTTGAAAATTTAGAAAGATACTCCATTTCTATGTAACTATATAGAGTAAAACCACCAAGATATCCCCTAGTTCTTAACATAATGCAAAAGTCACCATCAATGTCATAGTGTGATTGGACACATGTAAGTCCATCACGATCGTTCTGGGCATCAAATTGATTCAATCATTTGCGTGGCTGTTGTGGAAGTAGCCCCTGTTGTCAGTAGCCCCTGTTGTTATTATTTCAATCTTGCGGATAAGCCACCGTCGTCTGGGCACCGAACCCCAACCACCAAAAGTCGGATAGTCATTGTTCCTGCGCGGCCCGCATCTACGGAAATTATGCGACTCGGATCGGATCGGATCGGAACGTATCGGATCGACGTCCAGTGGTTTGTAGGCTGGTTTTCTTAATTCGTTTCGATTGTCTTTTTGTCAGTCATTAATTTGCTGCATTTGCATATTATTGATGTTTTTTGCCCTGCCCGATCATTTGCATACAAGTAGTGTGGCTTACTCTCTCTCCTTAGTTTTCGACGAGGGCTGTGAAAAATTGATTGACCCCAGCTGGAGAGGATTACTAAAGAGATGGCCGTGTAGGGTCTTTAAGTCTGGGATCCCAAGTGCGTGACTTGTTGACACTTTTAACCCGACTCCTGGCACTTAACTCCTAGGCTCCCTGTGAAAGGCAATTATGCAGATGAGTGCCCTGCGTTTATGGCATCCAGGTGTGCCTACTTGGTTTAGAAGCAGAAATAATATATATATACTCGTATAAATACAAAGCCTTCACAACTGGGCCTTAAAAGTCAGTCATTAAAACTAAAAACAAATTATGATTAATTACACACATTAGGAATCGAGTTCATGCCTTTGGCAAACGAGTTTCCAAATCTCCAAATAATAAAAACAGTGTCATGAACACGCTTCACTTTTGCTATGGCCAACGAACTGAGTCTTTTCTCATTTTCTCATTTTTACTGTGTATTCTTCATTTAATTTGACCCTCCCACTGGTGCAACACCTACAAGCGAAATCAACGAAGCGCAAAAAGGCTGAAAATGTTTCAAAGTTTCATCATCGCTTGAAGATTCACGAGGAGGGGAGTTGAATGTGGTAGTTGAATGATTTACGGTGTTGCACTTTAACACAGCCGGAATTTATTCATAAGTCGGGTGGCATTCGTTGTTTGAGCACCCCCTATGTATTCATCCATTCATATGGAAAGTATGTATTCGTTTTAATGAATAGTGGGCCCCTACCAATTATTTTCATACGCATTCGATCAATTTGCAGTATCTAACGCTTAGTCAGCGGGCTAAAAATCTTTGCACACATCGCAGATACAATGGTGCACAGATACATACGTACGTATGTGGCTGATTGTTCGACGGACTATAGACTATAGACCCCATCATGACCAGGGTCTTTCGATGTTTTGGTTGAGAGCGTATCTAGGCTAGTGTATCTTAGATATTTGCACGCAAAATTGCCGCTGCCTTTTTTGGTTGTTTTACTTCTTTTGCGGCGTCTCCTTTATTTCATTGTTCTGCACCTCCTCATCTGAAACAACGTTCGTATGCGATATGTATATGAATCTGTTCAAATTTGATTTATTTTTTTTTTTTTTTTTGTTTTACACTCGCATGATGTCATTAGGCTGTGGAACGAACCCTTAATGAAAGCCAAGTCGAAGTGGAGAGAAATCAAGTTTATTTACCTTTTGGGAGCTCTGCGGTGAAAATCCATTTTCTGTCGGCGGTCGCTCCATTGTTTCACAAAATTTAGATTTGCGAAAATCATCAAGCTATATGGCTATAGTGTGGCTGTTCCTATTCTATGTTTTGCCATTCATGAAGTTTTAGTGTACGTATTTGCCTTTATTTCGCTGTTTTTGTTTTCTGTGTGTTTTTTATTTCTACATAATAAAATGCCTGATGCGTGAAATGTTTGTCCAAGCTTGAAGAGTTGCCATTGTTGCCTCTTGCCGGCTGTTGATTCATCATCATGATCACCATCGTCGCAATATAGCTCCATATAACCTCAGCCCAGGCAACCGACCGATCAACCGACCATAGAACTGTTTCTGTTTTCAACCTCTTTGGATACCCCGATCTCCACCAGGCCACTGCTGTCGGTTGCCCCACAGAATGACACATTTAATGCACATTTGACTTGCAGATGTAGATCCATCCGACTGAACACAGCACCTCCAGTCCACTCCACTCCAAGTCACATGTCTTTGGAGTTCTCGCATGTGACAGTTTGTAAATTCTGCATCTCACTAGCCCTCCGGCAGGTTTAGTTACACTTTGTTGGTTTTGAAAATGACAATGGAATGACAATCTTTCAGACATGTGGCAGACAGTCATCGTGCGAGCTATTTTCACTTTCTTTTGGCCACCGTTTTGATTCCAAATCGGAAAATATAATAGAGCATTCTATATCGAATAATAAATATAATAAGGCTATTAACAGAACCGACTTCTTCTTACTTCCCCTTTCATCTTTAATTTTCATAAAGAAATAGTATAGTCACGATTAATTTACTCATATGAAAATGTAGCAATTTATAGCCAGTAATTGACCCCATTTATGATAATAAGTTTTGCATGAATTCTAATTAAAAGATTAGCCCACAAAAAGAACGAAAACAATTTATGCTGTTTCCTAGAATTTAGAAAACTCATAATTATACAGTAGCCTAAACCTTAAAAAATGCGAATACAGAGTTATCGGGAATCCAGTATCCAGTTCATATATGAAATTAAAAACCTACCAAGAAGAAGGCAATTACCATACAATGTAGGGCCAAAAATGGCTGCTGTTTCTACTTTTTACATCGACTTCATTTGCGGCTCCTTCGTATTAATTACTATACGCTAAATTCAGCCATTAACGCAAGATAGTTTTCACCTCCCACAAAATTGTTGGCCCAACAGAGCAGAACAAAGAAATTAGTGGAATAGTTATAGAAGATGTGTGTTCTTACTCTGCGTTTTTCGGTGGTAAAGAAATCTGTTTCGATACGCAACATAAAACCTAAAGAGTCATAACACGGGGGAATTATGTTGATTGCAAATTTGTTAAGGTCATAAAGTGGAATTTCGTTTTTAATTTCAACGCCATTGTTTTGCAAATGCACGG